GTTATTGTGGTGGACGCATTGAAGAAGAATCCATCAATTTTTATGTTGCCCTCGGTCGACATTTTCGTCGATTCTGTTTTGCTGTTGCCGTATTGCTCAGTGCTCGTAAAATGCAAATCGAAATTCATATCGACACACACACTCACACACATTGGCATAGAGTGAATATTGTGCGTTGGTTGGTATTAGTGCTGTGAGTTGTTTGCCGATTCCACCCCTTTTCTCATTGTTCTGTCCATCAAAAAATGTGCACAGCAACAACAACAACAACAGCGACAGCATCAACGAGTACGAACAAAGAAGACGCAGTTGGATGAAAAAAAAAATCCATACACATGAAGTTGTTGTCGTTGTCTCGTTTCGTTGACTTTTTCGTCTTCTGCTGCTGCTGCTGCCGCTGTTGCTGCTGCTACTCCTCCTGCTCAACGTCATCGTCGTCTCTCATTGTTCCTGCTGCTGTTGATTCGCTGGCTGCTGCTGCGCTGCTTTTGCTGCTTCTGCTGTTGCTGTTGCTACTTCTTCTTGTTTTTCTGATGCCACTTGAGCTTTTGCTGGTCGCTGCCTTCTTTTCAATTGTTGTTGCTGTCGCTCGTTGTTATCGTTGCTGTTTCGATATTTTTCTCGTCGCTGTTGCCATTGTTGCTGCTTCACTTGGCCGCTGCCTCTCCAAATGTCTGCCAAATGCCACCCCGCCCCTTTTTGGCATTGCAGCCCGCCAGCCGCCGCTGGCTCTCAGCTTTCAAGCGTCCGACTTGCAACTTCAAACTTCATTTCAGAGTGTCGGCCAATCTCCAAAATCCGAACGTTTCATTCATCCGCTCATAACCTCCCCTCTTCGTGCATGTGTCTGTACATACACTTGCATACATATATGTATATGTATATGTCAATGTATTTGTATGCACCTCCATTGCTTTCATTTGCCCTCTGGCGTTTTCGTCTGTGACGACATAGAGATAAAGCTGTTCGGTATTATGTACCGGAAAAATCAAAGACCGACAGCAAAAAGCTTGAGCTAATCCATTTGTTCTGGAAACTACATCTTTGGATTTTTCTTCAATAATGTTTAATATTGTTTTTCATGTTATTTTCTTAAGCTTAATTCGAATAAAAGAAGTTAAGATATCATATAACATTTCCACACATAGAATATCTTTAAAACATTCTCATAAACTCAAAAATAGCCCCTGAACCAGAGATAAATACTTCCAAATTAGTACATAGAACTCCGCCGAACCGCTAACTGGTTTATTTGCGCATTTATTTAATATGTCAGCTACATTATAGTCATATTAAGCCAATTTCAGGGCGTATTACAACTTTGTCATAAGCTCAAAAACCATATGGCCAACACACACACACACACACGCCCATTTTTCAGCAGCCGCCCTTATAAATGTGGTCTCCATCCTCTGTCTCTCTGTCTTTCGGGCAGGCAAAATTGATGCCGCCAATTAAGAGGCGTTGAAAAACATTTCGTAAAATTTTTGCTAAAATTGCCAAAGCCACGCAAAGTGCCAGGATAAACGCGGTGGCTGCCTGGACGCGGGTGGAGCCATCGCAGAGACCGCCATATCGACACTGCAACCACACATATCACCACTCAAAACATCCGACACAATCCAATGTTGATTACCACATAAAAATCCATTGTCCACCAACTGCTCCACCACCCACTCCCACTCGGACTCCCACTCTGACTCCCATTTCGTCTCCCACTCCGTCGCCATCGCCATTTGGTCAACAATTTTGATTGCCTCGACGCGCGCAAAATTATTCCTAAAAACAAATACAAATACGAATACAAATTCATTTGAGTGGATTTCAGTGGGCCCCGTCGCCCTGTCCCTTGCATGTCCTTTTTAGTCCTTTTTGCAGTGCATTTTATGCGTCCTGCGCCATTTCGCTAATGGTGGGGCCTGGTACTCGCAGACGTCGCTGTCGCTGCCAACGTCGCTGTCGCCGTCGCTGCCAACGTCGACGCAGGCTCCTGATGATTGTCCTGCAATTTGTGTCCTGGACGTGCATGCGTGTTGGAAATTGTCGTTCTTATTGCCTTTTCAAAAAATTATTTCGCGTTAATGGCAATTACCACTTGTGTATGTCCTGGCCCCAGGCTCTGCTCCTCCTCATCCTCATCCCCCTCATCATCCTGCTCGTGGCTGCTGCTGTTGCTGCTGTAATGCAATTTGAAATTATTTTTAAAGAAATTTTATGATTTCCAGTTAATTTATGTTAAGTGTACTTAAGTGAAAATTGTGTGTGCTGGAAATTAGCCGAACTGTGGGCGTGGTTTATTAGTCGACACAATTAGTTGCACTTTGATGGCCGCGCATTTGTGCCAACAGTAAATTGCAACATAATTTTTAGCTCAATTAGCAAACCCCATGGAGGATATTGCTTTCGAGAATTAAAGTACTTAAAGTTTCTGAAATGTGACAATTAAGCTACTTCTTGTTTTCATTAAACACTTTCAAAAAACGTTTAGCCCTTTTCTTATAAGCTTCATTATATGGAGAAAGCTAAAACGCTTACGGATGTAAAGCGAAGAAGAATACAAAATGTTTACGAATAAGAAATGTTTAGGAAAGAAAATTGTACGAAGTAAATTCTATTTGTTTTGCGATCTAAAATATTTTTTGATAAATTTAATACACATTTATTTTTTCACTTCTTAACTGTGACAATTACTGCCTGCAAGACATTTACGGATGCGACACAAAGAGGAATGAAAAACATATTTGCTCAAAAGAGAAAAGAAATTAATCTAAGTTTGAGTCTATTAAAAAAATTAATGAATCGCTTACCTTACCTTACTTTTGGTAACATTTTTATTTTGATATATATGTATATTTATATGCTATATATATGCTAAACATTTTATGGTACTGACAATTGCTATTGCGATATTGATAAGTCCATGTTAGGGTTATACGTGGTCTTGCTTCAAGCTTAAAATAGATATTATGCGACCTTGAAAGCTTCAACAGATGGATAAATACACCCCATTTAAATGTTTATGAAGCAAAGAAAGTGTTGCTTCGGCTTTCTTTATAGACATAAGATTCTAATCCATATATCCGGGCCATAATAATTCTTTTATAGCATCATTTGCGTGTTATATCGAACAGATTTGTTGAAATTCATGTTGTAATTATGTAACAAATACTTACGGCCATACTTGAGGCCACAAATTAAATAATTCAAAATTTTACGATGCGACACAGATGCATTCGAACTCACACACACACGCACACACACTCGTATTTATGTGTAGCTATTTACAAAAATTTTGTTTGAAACTGGAAAAAAATAAAGAAAATTGTTTAATTTTCTGGAACTCATCATAAGCGAAACCATAAATTATCAGATATAGAAAAAAGCATGCGATACTCTGGCCTGTTCGCAACGAGGTCGCAGAGTGGAGCAACAGAGAGGGTCTGAGTGGGAGGGAGAGAGAGAGACCGAGAGAGAGAGAGGGCGAGTGAAGGCAACTAAATAACTCCGAAGAATGAATTATGACAGTTCTAATTGACTGAAATATGGTGCGATGGCTGCTTTCCATCATTTGTATTCCTTCCTCTCTTTATTATTTCTTTTTTGGACTTTGTGCGGGTTGTTACAGTGGGTGTGCATATGCTCGTGCAGATAAAAATAAAGGGTGGCTGGGGACAGACAGCGCACAGTTGAAGTGCGCAAACGAGCATCTTACAGATACTTTTGCTTCACTTTCGTTTTAGTAACGCTGCCTGCATTGAATGGGAATTGAAAAGCAGACAACAACAAAACTGCCAAACAATGAGGCTGCTGTTGTCGCCGGTTTCGGTATTTGGTCTTGTGTGGCTGCTGCTGCTGCTGCTGCTGCTGCTTCTGCTGCTGCTGGTGGCTGGTGTTTGCCATCGAGTGCATCTCGAGCAGAGTGCCACAAACATCTCCAACAAAAAAAAAAGAAGAAAAACCAAACCGAACTGAACCGAACCGAACCCAAAAGCCAGTGAAATGTGTCTAAAGACGGCGGCGATGGCAATGGCGACGCCTGCTTTGCCGGCTCCTGCCACAGTATTTCATTTTTTTGAAGTGCCAGTTTATGTATCTGAAAGATACGCTTAGCAAGCACATGCACACACACAGAGTGAGTGTGCGGCACTGAAAGAAAGGAAACGCCATGCCAAGCTGTTGGGCAAATGGAAGAAATGGATTTTTGACAGATTTATGACTATCGAGCCGTCTTCATTTTTTGAATTATTGCCATCGAAATAGACGAAAAATTCGGGTATTTCTTTCTCTCGCTTCAGTTCGCCGCCGCCGGCTCAGTTCGGTTCCGTTCTCAAACAGCCTCCCGCTGCTGTCTCCCAACAACCAAAAAAAAAATAAAGAGAAAAACCAACAAATAAACTGAGCAACCCGCCGCCGCACACATGGATTTGGATTGGATTCCGTTCGGATTTGGCCTGGACTTCAGCTTGGTATTTGGCATTGGGCAGCCTTTGACTCTCGACCGCTGTCGCAGGAAAAGGAAGTGTGGCTTTCTTTTCAATTTGTCCTTCGGCCTGTCCTTACCTATAAACCACTTGAACGGGTTTTTGTAGTATGGGAACATACGTTCATTCGGAAGTGCAGCCGGATGATGTTTTTGTATTTTTATGACCAACTATCTATTCGTTTAGTTATTTTAGAGAACTTAATTCGCTTTATGAAAATATATTTGTCTAAAATATAATTTGAATCTAAATGGATAAATTTAGAAATACAATTAAAGACTAACTCGCTCCGTTTCGAAGAAACTTTACAAAACGTATTTTCATGTATCGCTCTACTATGCGATTCTCAAAATTGCAAATAAGTGTCTCACTAATCTCAGAAGCTTTATCTCTGCTCAACCTCTTTCACTCTACTTTTTCCGCTGGCACTCTCTCTCTCTCTTTCTCCCTCTCTTTTTATACCCCTTTCTTTTTATGGCTTTTACTCTAATCTGATCTCTACTTCTTTTGTACTTTTAGATATATGGATATATGTTTCTGGGAGTTTGCCTCATTCTGACTAATAGATGACAATAGATTTTTGGGTAAGTACACATATTTTTATATACAATTACGAATGTGTGTAATGGAATTTCCCTGAATTCCCTTATGTTTTGAATACAAATATTAGCAAGAATTTTGAAATGGTAATATTCTTTTATAAATTTTTTTTTTTTTGAGAATCCCAAAGGAAACGCTTAAGTTTTGTCACTGCTCATTATTCATGGTAAATAACGAAACTTCATTCTATTCGTTCTAATCCAATTCAAGGTGTTTCATAGTTTAAGTAATCTATATTGTTATGTTTAATAACATCGCACAAAAAAGAGAAATATTATGAACAAAATATGCTGCAAAAGTAATCATGCTGGCAAAACGTTTAAGAATTTCGCACAGAATGGGGAAAAAATAGGAACCACGTATACTTCTTGCAAGCATACTATCTAAACATTTCAGAATATCGCACAAAAGGGAGAGAACAGAAAAAACATATTGTTTTCAAACTTGTTGCTCTTTTGGTTAGTGTGGTAAAGAGAGTTGGTAAATAGAATTAGGATGGAATATAAAACATGACGCAGATCAGTATAAGGTCTTACACATTTTCCCAAACAAATTTTGAAGACCTTTGATTGTATTTGAGTAGAGATTTTACGGCGGCTTTTCCAATGTTTAACATTTTTGTGGAGCTAACCAATTCCAACTGTGGGCTCGGACTAGGAGTAGGCAGCTGCGCTCGCCAGAGTCGAAATGTAAACAAAAGGCCCGAGAGAAAATAATAGAGGAAAATGAAAATGCAACAGAAGCCACAGCCAATGCCAAAGCGCTGGCTTAGCCAAAGGAAAAATCTATAAATGCAGTCGCATAGTCGTAAGTCTGCAATTTACGATCGATCGATTTCAAGTTAAGCATATGCGACTCCCCGACTTTGACTTCGACTACGATTCCGGCGACTCGGCAACTGCCACTGCAACTGCAACTGCCACTGCAACTGCAACTGCGGCTGTGCAGGCCAGAAGCGAATGGAATGGCTGCATGGAAGATGGAGTCGCCAAGAAAAATGCCGAATTGCTGATGGCGCGAGCAGCAGGAGCTGGAGGAGTTAGAGGAGCGGTGGAGGCGGGTGGCTGTTGCATGTGTCAGATGTTGCATCGGGCACCGTTATGATGTGCGCTTGATGCCCCTCGGCAACATTTTGCACTTAATTTAATTTGTACGGCAAACAACGGCGCACATTTCATGGCAAATATGAGCGGGATCGGGTGTAGAGTTCCACCATGGCAGCGCCACATCAAGCGCCTTTTGGCCGCAGGGTGGGCGTGGCATGGATTTGAAGTGCAGCTGGGGGGCTTGCGGAATGGGCATGTGGCGGCGGGTCGGGGGCTCAACGTCTGCTGGTCCATATCAGTTTCATGGAACTATGGTCACGATTTGGCAATAATGTTGCTTAAATACGCTCCGGCTGTAGCCAAAGCCAAAGCCGAGGCGGACGCCGACCGTGGCCGGCCCGGCCCGGCCCGGCCTGGCCTGGCCTGGACCTGCACCGGCTGCGGCTGCGACTCGCTTCGGCCTCGATGGCCAATTGTAAAACATTCGTTTGTGAGATTTGTTTGCGGGATAAAAATAAAATTGTTCATTTAAAGTAGCTGCTTCTGTGTGCTGTGTGGACGACCGCAGATTGTTGTGCACTTGTGGAGGGAGGCAACGAGCGGCGCGGTGCGGCGGGGTGCGGTGCCCCAGGCAGGCGCATGGCCATTGCCCGCTTCCAAATTGGCTTTGTTTATGAGATCGCTTTTATCGTCCGCGGCAAAGGACCTGCGGGTTAATTTCTTAGCGCTACTTAATTTTTTCTCGATCCCTCTCCTCACCCCCTTCCCACAAGTGGCCAGCCCCCAAACAACATCGTTTGGCATAGCCAAAAAAAAAAACTACGCTAATTTTCCGCAAATTCCAGCGCTTATCAATCCCATTTAGATTAGATGTGTAATTTCGTTGTTACATTTCGAAAGATACTTGTTTACCGATTCCGCATCAAAGCTACACAAGATCGTAACAACATGGAAATTGTTACGCTCGATCGGATATCGGGTAAAAGACATTCACATTTTCTTCAAATCGCCACGAATTGTTTCAGAGCAGGCAAGAAAATGAGTTTCGCGCTTTCAAGCGGAACCTTTGAAAGTCTAACTTAAATTTCGGGACGCTTAACTCTGTAAAATTTCTTTTGCATATCTTATGTTATTATTTAATAAATTATAACTTATTTCCTCTCACTTACTTCGATGCATTCCAAAGTTTTTTAAGAATAGAACATGTTAAATCTTTTGCGAAAGTTCTGTATGTATCAATATTCTAAATATTATCTATTAGTTGATCATTCAGGACTTCAAACCACTTGCCATAAGAATTGGGTATATCGTACAGCTTTTAAATTATAAGAGCATCAGCTAAAGAGTGTGCAAATAATCATTATATATTATATATTTTATAAATTATTATATTTTTTATATTTTTTTTAAGACTTCACTTTATTTAAACTCATTTATTTAGATACTTCGAATTTTGACCTATTTGCTTACTGCTAAGCGAACAACTTATCGATTGCTTGCCTATCGATTCTACATAACAGAAAGCCTTTTATCTGATCATTCTGTACATAATTCACTGCTGGGCATTATAATTGGGCGTCTCGTACAGCTCATAAAAGCATCTGCTAAGGGTTTTGGCAGACATTTTTATATATTGTTAAGACTATAAACATTTATTAAAAAACGTTTCTTACTATCTTCGAGCTATTGATTATCGATAACACAATCATTTTAACTATGGTATAAAGTTGTCGGTCGCATAAAAAAATCATAATATTTACATGCATCTGTCTTATTGTCTTTTAATCAATATTTTTTAATTTAAATTCGTTTGCATTAAATCTTTTGCTTCAATCTTTTATTAGTAAATTGCTAATAAGCAATTTTTTGACTATTAGTTAAGAGAACTTACGAATAATAAGGGTAAGCTAATTAATTCTGGTTTTCATTTATTGCAAAGGAATGTAAATAAGAAATTTTAAAATAAAAGATAATTGTTAATAGAACAATTTGGATTAAATATTTGTTAACTAAACTCAACACTAAAATCAAGTAAAAATTTTAATTTTTTTTTTTAGTTCTAGTTTTTTCAAGGCAAAGAGTTCTAGAGATATAAATACAGTCCAAGCAGGTATTTAGACTTATAACGTATCTTTTCTCATTTTTGTTTTTACCGAATTTAATCTTACGCCCTGACATGACAAGATCATTGAAGCCAATTGGCAACATAGCGACCAAAAAACTTGGCCATAAAACACAAGGATCTTGACTTTTGCCAATCACAACAAGTTGTAGTCAGGTCGCAAAAGTTGAGGTACAAATATGGCGTGGAAGTAGCATAAGCTTGCAATGCGATATGCGAATGTTGCTCTATGTTGTTGTTGCAGTTGTTGTTGTTGTTGTTGTTGCAGTTGTTGTTGTTTTGTTGCTGTCGCTGTAGTCACGGCCGATTGGCCTTTGAGCAACGCTTTTTGTGCCAATCGCAGGCGGTTGTTGCTGTTCCTCTTGTTGCTGTTGTTGTTGTTGTTGTTGTTGTTGTAGTCGTCCTGGTTGTTGAACGACCTGTAGCCTGCTCCCGTTGTAAATGTTGTCGCCGTCGTCGTCGTCACAGACGACATCACACATTGACCATTGCCAGTGTAGAATTTGGTGCAATTGTCGTGGCAGCCAACACCCGCGCCCTCTGCACCCAACCAACCCCCTCCCGCCTTGCAGGCTCCTTGCCCCGCATTGGCTAGTGCCTCTGGCAATGGGTCTGGCTCCTCATGTCTGATTTACGAGCCGAGCGATGTTGGCGATGCTGGCGATGCCGTGGCCAAGATCGTCGCCGGTTATGCCAGGTCAGTTCCATTATTTTCTGGCCAATTCGCCATTGTTACAAATGCTAATTTTGATATTTTGTATTTAAATGCACAGGAGGCAGCATAGAACTTTATGCTACCCTTTAGGTAGCACAAAAAGAAAGGGTATTACAAATTCAACAATTGCTTGGTGACTCTAGACAGAACCAAAGTTGAGCATGAGGTGTACTCTAAAGATTTTGTCTTCTGTCTACTGTCCTAAAGGAGGCTCGATTCTCAGGGTTCCATTCATTAATTTTTTTAATAATTTTAAGCTGATTCTATAACTCGAATCTTTAACCTAAAAAAATTAGATATAAACTAATTGACGCAGTTTTTCTTAATTTAAGTTGAATTTTAAACAACTTAAGTATTTTGAAAGTTTAATTTTTTGCCTCAGGCAATCAGGTACATTTTTGTTTTCTATTGAATACTTGCTAAAGCTTGGGCTACAGCTGGAAAGAACATTTATGGTATCCACTGTACGTGAAAATCTTTTGTAACTGCATTAAATTTTATTTTTAATTCATTTTAATTTTGATAACTTTCTTTTGATTAATCTTGTCCAAATTTTCAATACTAATTTTTAAATAAATATATAACTATGATTTGAGAATTGACTCGGGCTTAATAATAAATATAACATGGGAAATAATTGTAATTTGTTAATTGCATAAATAAGTGAAATGGTTTTTGTGAGGGCATTTCTTTTGTCGCCATTATCTGTGCTGTAATTTTATTCGCTTATTTTCTAGTTCATGCTGCAAATGTGGCATTGAATTTCATATTGCGCGCTGCAGCTCCAACAGCGAAGCCGGTCCCCAATCGCATCGACAATCGTAAGCGTTGCATTCGCCATCGTCTCCATCGTTTCCATCGCCGTCGTCTCGTTCCGATCCGCTGTAATGGATGTTATGTTCTGGCGGCGATCGCATGACAGGCGCATGTTGCAGCCGTTGGCATCCGCACCATTATGGCAACTGGGTCCCCAGAGTCGGTCTTAAGCCTTAGCCGCCGTCCCTGCCCACCGTGGCATTGCCAATGCATCGCATTCCCCAAAAAGCGTGTAATCAATAAACAACAAGAGCCATCGAAGCTACGATCCGATGCCCCCTTCAA